GTGTGTGTTTATTAATAATAAAATGTTTTGTTTTTTGTTTTTTTTTAATAAAAAATGTGATCAGAGGTAGGTAGTTTTTTCTATGGATATCAACACAACGACAAATTTAAAGTTGCATAATAAATCTCTACTACAAGAATTAATCAAAGATTGGTTTAGTAAAATTATTTACTTGTAATATTTTTTTATTCACTGTGAAAGCTAATACAATATAGAAAGCACTGAAACTCTATAATCATTTTCACTCTTTTTTTTTCAAAATATGTACTGAAATTTGAAATTTTTTCAACAAATATTTTAAAAAGTTACAGTATCAAAATTATTTATTAGAGCATTTAAAAGTGTCTTTAATGCTTGAGTGATTTTAATGCTTTTTATCAAATGTACTTATTTTCTCATGGTGACAAAAAAAATTATCTACGTGAAAATTATTTTACAAAATCAATTTCTGAGTGATCTGTGTAGGGTGAGATTTGTTATGTAATTTTAAATTTAGCGGCGGCAGAATACCTAAAACAAATATTGAGTAGGTAGGTATATAGTTGTAGAGCGTATAACTAGATGGCGCTTGTATCTTTTACCGGCTACAGGTAATTTAACTCACTATATTACCGATAATTCCTAGAAAAGGAAAGCAATAGAAGTTGGAGAAAGTGTCAACAGTTAGCGCTGTTAATGACCACGAAATCTGTTCAAGTTTCCTATCTATAGTATCATTTATCTAGGGTTTCAACTTTGTATGTATTAGGCCTATTCCTTTGCACAGAAAGTGTAGTACTAGCTGCACTGAATAGCCAGTTATCGTTCCTTTGCAAGAGAGTGTTGCATTTTACACCACACTTTCTTATTCCACTGCTCAGTGTTAGTTGCACTAGTGCAGTTTATCTACACCTAGCCTGAGCAGGAGTGAAATGCACTGGACATGCGCAGTCTGCGCTATTTGAATATTTCACAATTCTTGTATCTTAGAACCAAATAATCAAATAGTGTTTTATTTATCCTAGTGTTTTAAAAACTTTATCAGAATATTTGGGTACAATTTCTTCTACATATATACTGTTTAATTGAATGTCGTTTATCTCTTTTAAATAAACTATCACTCGAACTTGAATGAAGATCTACTAATCTATTGTCTAAAAAGTCATCGTCACAAAAAACACCTACGACGTCCATAATTAATGCTTAGTTAGGAAAAAAATACAGTTTTCAGATTTAGAATATATCCTAAACTTATATTATTGTACAGCTACACCATCTCACACTTCGTTATTCCTTTGATCCTAACAGAACTTTTGCACCACTCTGATCAGCTGGTTTTCAGTGTAATGTAATTTACACTACACTGAATAACAAAGGAAAGAACTTATTGTGTTGTGTTTCAAAGGTCAAAGTTAAACAACAAAATTGATCTTTGTTTTGTACTTTGTTGTATTTGTGTCAAAATTGTGCACCTATTGTTAATACCCTATACCTATACTCTCAAATTATAATTAAATAAAGAAAAAATGGGTAATCGCTCATCATTACTTCTGCGAGAGGAAGAAATAGCGCAAATACAACAGGAAACTGGATGTAAGTTTATTATATCATTATTATTATTAATTTAGAGTTAATTCAGTATACATATTTGTTTCAGTTACCCCCAGTCAAATAGAAAGATTATATTCAAGATTTACATCATTAGATAGAGGAGACTGTGGTACATTAAGTCGTGATGACTTTTTACGAATTCCTGAATTAGCTATTAATCCACTTGGAGAAAGAATTGTTAATTCATTTTTTCAAGGTGATGAATTTAATGATCGAGTTAATTTTAGACAATTTATGCAAGTTTTGGCCCACTTTAGGCCAGTTAAAAAAAATAAAGATAACAAATTTAATTCCAGAGAAGAGAAATTAAGATGTAAGTAATTTTAACAGTTAATATCAATTGAAATAAATATCTTTCTATTTATTAGCGAATAAGACGTATTTAAATATAGACAAAAACTATAAATTGTGACAAATGTAGTATCTTTATAGTAGTTAGTGTAACTTTCCTAAGTCACTTTTGGCCATATTTTGTAATACCTATTTTTTTACAGGATTATGATTACCTATGTTTAATGATCATCAACTGGTACAGTTCTGTTTAATTTGATTCAATTAAATATATCGTATAATTAATGCCCTTATATTGTGGGATAATTGCTAAATTTTTTATTATAACATAGATATATTGTGTAAATCTTTGTTTTCGTTAGTTATTCAGTAAGTGAGATCTTAAAATATGTAAGATATTATAATTGAAACAGAGGCAAATTCTGCTACATCATTTATGTATAAAGAAAAGTGTAATTTTTGTGGAGCTAAATCACTTATAAGAAATTTTTGTGACAAAAAAAAATTTGAAAGGAGAAAAATTCATTTAATTTTTAAGCTGCACTGTCAGATAAGTTAAAATACGGGCTGACGCTTGCTCACAAGTCCTGTATATCTAACGTAAAAAATTAGGAGCTGCCAACTCTGACATCTCGAAAGGTTGGACTCATTTGATTTTTTTTACGTAATCAACTGATAACTTAAGCAAGTGGTTTCTTATTGTGGTTTTCTTATTACTAAGTTGTAACTTTTCCAAAACATGATGAAATTTGAAAAATAGAATCTTAATAATACTAATTAAAATTTAATTATAGCCACAAAATTTTATTTTGCCAATTTAAAAAATTCCTGTTTGTGTCCAAGTCGATTAAGAAAAAAATATTTTGGATATTGTATATATGAAACCCTTTTCAAAATCATGATTGGCAACGTTTATTTAAATTTTTATTTCTAAAATTTTTTCCAAATTTTTCAATCATGAAAGATCTTGAAGGATGATAGGAAACATCTAACGGTAAGGGTCCCATACTTTGTTAAAATATGACCACTTTAATTTTCAGCACCATCATTGCTTCTTTCAATAATTACACTAAAAAAATTTGATTTTAACATCGTGACTGCATTTCTAAAACTTTAAAAAAGAAAATGCAATTAATATTTCATTAATTATAAAATTAAAAAAAAAAACGATAATGTGTGAATCTCATTTTTTTTTATTGTTCTAATAGATTATTTTTACAGTTTTAAAAAAATATATTTAACTCTTGTCAGTTATCCACTTCTCTGTAATAAATTTACTGCTCTGTATATTAAGTTATTTATTATCTTTATCTGCATTGATAGTGTTCAAAGTAACAAAAATTTAGAAACAATATACAATATGAATACATAGGTTGTTGATACCATAGTAACTGAGTACATCTAAAAATGATATACTCTTATCATGTGATTATGGATTATGAACGTTAAACTATTAGTATTAAATTAAGTTTCTAGTAACAATAATTTCATTATTTATGTACAGGGTTACTAATATAACATTTTATCCATTATTTATTTTTTATGGTGTAATTGTGAAATGTCTCGATATGTCATTGACGTAAACAATTTTATTTTTTTGGAAATTGTGCCCTCACATTATTCCTCAGATAACTCAGAATTTATATGACACAGATTTTTTCTGTCAATGCTTACATTTTATTTCAAACTGTATTTGGAATAAAAAAATATTTTTTGCAGAAAGAATAGTTTTGAAGCTTTTTTAATAAATTTATTTTTAACTGTGATAAGCTAATTTTAAATTCAGAAATATAACAATCCAGAGACGACTTATTTTTGACAAAATTATAGTTTTCTCTTTGAAATACAATCATTAGTCACATAAATTGATTGAATTTTCAAAAATCCAGTGGTGTAGAAATTTTGTTGTTTTCAATGACAGTATCCTCCGGTATATCTGCCGCTGGTTTTTGTCTTTAAGTAAGTAGTTAAAAACTGTCACAAATTTTTTAGCACCATTTCTGTTTATTTGAACTAGATTTTGAATCTAGGTGATTGATATGTAGTTAGAGTAGTAGGTACATTGAAAATTTACATAATTTTAAAAATTCTTATAGGTGAAGTACAGGGTGTGGCAAAAGTAACTGACAAATTTTTAAAGATAACCGCTCGGTGAGTAGTGACAGTATGATAGTGGGGAATGTTGCATTAGAGGGAGTAACAGGCCATTTTCAATTGTTATTATAAACTGGACTCATGAGCATTACACTTTCATTGTTGAAACATTTATTAAAAACAACGAATTTGTGACTGCTATTCAAATAGCTTTTCCATTGTACTTTAGACTTGTTTGACGTGACACCATATTTGTATGAAACTTGATTTTGCTAAAAAAAAAAAACCTGGATGGCCTTGGACTCATAGAGCTCCTGAACATAAGCGGTAAGACCGACCAATGTACAAAGAATCCTCCACTCAGAATTTAAAATACATCCTTACAAAATGATGTTGGTACAGAAACTTAAGGAGAGAGACGGGGAAAACCATAGATCAGTGTCTCGAAATTCAACAACATATCCTCTGTGCAGCTTTGGCGTTATTCAGCGATGAGGCAGTTTCACGTGTGGCAGTGCTAATAAGAAAAATTTCACATACTAGGCAGAGACCAGTCCTTGTTAGCTGCATGATGACCCTTACGTAGCCCTAAGGTATGGTGTGCGATTGCAAATTTTGGCATTTGAACAAGAGAGTGTTACAGTGATTGAACTCAGATCGATATCGTAAAATGTTGAAGACCTTTAAACCCAAACTGGATGAACTTGACAGTATGAACAAAGTTTGTTTCAACAGAATGGGGCAACAGCTCACATTGCTCACCATACTGTAGCCATTTTGAGGGAGATGTTTCCCAATCGTTTAATTTGGCCTGCTCAAATCAAAAGCCCTCGCACTATAGACCAACTGAAACAAGCAATTTGACAGGAAGTGGCTGCCACTCCAGAGCAAATGATTAGCAGTGATCAAAAGTTTCTTAAACGTCTTCATCAGTGTATACACAACAACAGCACTCACTTAACTGACGTTATTTTTAAAACGAATTAATAACTAACTAAAATGGCTTTTATGTGTGTTCAGATAAGAATAAAAAAATAATAATTTATATATTTTGGATATTATTTAGCCTTGAAATGTGTTAGTTACTTTTGCTGCGCCTTGCATTATTAATCTTTAGAAATAAAATTAAAATTTTTTCAGTTGCATTTAAAATGTACGATTTAGACAATGACGACATGATTTCTAAGGATGAATTATTAGCTATTTTACACATGATGGTTGGAACAAATATAAGTGAGGAGCAATTGAATAGTATTGCAGAAAGAACAATTCTTGAAGCCGATGAGGACGGTGATCAAATGATTTCATTTGAAGAATTCTGCAAAGCCTTGCAGCGGACAGATGTTGAGCAGAAAATGAGTATTAGGTTTTTAAATTGAATGTTGTTGTCATTATTTGTTGGTAATTTTATTTTTATATATATGTGTGTAATATTTAGTGAGTAAATAGGAAATTTTTTCAATGGTTATTATAATAGGTGAAATGTAAGCAAAACCTTTTTTATTTGTAAAACTATAGTTCATAAATAACATCTAAAAGCTACATAATTACATATTTTATTATTATGTTATTGTATCTTATGATAAAATATAAAACAATTTAAAATATAACTATTTTACTTATGCAGTGGAAGATACGGCTAATTTCTTCAAATGATCCATAAATACTTGAAGCGATACATCATCAGTAAGCACAGGAGCACCACCATCCTAAAAATAAATCACCTTCAAGCAATATATTCAATATTGATGTTAGTAGATGTGCTAGAAAATAAATTTTATTTACAAATATAGTTTGTAAAAAGCGATAGGATAGTAAACGAAACTTTCAACTATGTGCCCTTTGTATATTCTACAGATACACTAGAATATTCAGCATAAAATAATAACATATGACCTGTGGCAGGCCTCCTAAAATCTCGCGAGAGTATTTTGAAACCCATCTCCATTCATTCGGTTCAAAACATAAATTGGCACTCTTGAAACACATCCGTATTGTTGTCGGATAAGTTCCACAAATTTGGGGTAATATGATATACCACCAGGATTAAGCAATAAGAAATAAACAATTTAGCTAACTGAGCAATATTTTTTTTGTCTAACACAGGGTTTCCCAATCTGGGGTCCGCACATAATGACGTGCAGTGAAAAAAGTATATAATCGAAATGCCTGCCGATTTACAAAGAGCTTGTGTTCCGTGAAACATTATAGTTTTTTAGAGAAACTGGGTATCACAAATGTATCTGGACAGTAGGGCCTGACCATTTTATAGATATAGAAACAAGTGTTTGTAACCATCCATTTGCCCTTTGCTTGTTCAATAAAAATTAGTTTGCATTGAGAAATCAACAGGAGCGTCCCATTTCATCAATACGTTCAGTCAATTGTTTCTCGGGTTATAATACGCTACATGTAATTTGAATCTATGAATGTATAGCCTTTCCGATATCAATTGAAGAACCAAGAGGTTGACAATATGTATCAGGTCGGTTGCTGACGCAGCAACTTGGCATTGAAATATTTGAAAAACTTGTTCCCATATTTATTTAGCCATACCCATATACATGTCTAGTCAATTTAAACGTGGAGGTGGTAGAAATGTATATGCCCAGTTGAAGAATGCGAGCGTGGGCAAACGAAATACAAACACAGCTACATTGGGCCACTGGACAATAAATCTCAGCTGTTGACAAGTGGTTGACAAACTGCCAACCAGGGCCTGGAAACTAAGATAGGTCCCACTGTACATCGATTTTGAGCGCCATCTAAGAACTGGTCACACTATCAATCTTCTTATGATTAAAAATATTTCCTGTAGATGGCAGGCCTGTTTAAATCGGCATTGTAGGGCATTTGTATTTTCGTTTCCGTTTCCGAATTCAGCGTCGGCCATATTTGTTGTAGTTTACGCTTTGGTTTGTTCAGTTTGTTGTTTATTGTGCGTCTTGCCGTCTTGTTTCTTGTTAATCGTTTATTGTTTTGTGTTGGGCGTGGAGTAGTTCTAATTTTTTGGAAATCCACCATAGTACTTATTGACTTATTTTTATTTTGTTATAAACAATGAGTTCTAGGTTAAGACCTTGTTGTGTACCTGGTTGTACTGATAAAAACTCAAAAAGGTAAGGAAAATATCTTACGTAATGATTTGTAGAATTTTATGTAGTATAAATATATGCTAGAAAATCAGTAGTACCTAATTTTTTCATTTAAATTATCAGTATTACCATCTGAAGCATTAGTGTGATGATACATTTAACCCTACATTTAACTAGCAGAATAGAAGTTTAAACTAATAAAATTGAAATACTATATTGGTGTTTATTGTAACGCTAACATACTCCGTTTTCTAGAAAGTCTTGACACGACCTATTTGTTGCTAATGCTAAAAATGCTAATAATTGTACATGAACATATCTTTTCCCAGCATGTAAAAATTTATACAATTTTTATATAAAATTTTATAGTGACAATTTCCTGCTTCTTTGTTGAAAGTTATCAGTTAAATACGTAGTTATTGTTACACTATGTACCTATTAAAAAATTTTTCCACAATTTAATAAAATGTACATATTTATAATTTTTAGGCACAGAATAACAACGGACAAGCAGTGTCGAGAGATTTGGCTTCAAAGAATTAACAATGAGACATTGTTGAAACTTGATGACCAGTCATTAAAATCTCACAGAATTTGTGATATTCATTTTGAAAATGTCTGCAAAGAAGCTGGCGGCAGAATAAAATATCGTGCTTTACCAACTCTCAATTTGAAAGGTAAGTTGCCGAGAATTGTTATCAAAGGATTTAAAGACTGTATGTTTAACTTTTTTTTTTCAGGTTATGAGAAAAAAGAAGATGATAGTTTTTTGCAACCATCTCCTGAGAAGAAAATAGTAACTCCAGAAAAAATAAAAGGTAAATTTATTATTTATTTCATAGGTTTTTGCTCCACTCTCATTAAATTATAAAACTTGCATAAAATATAATTTTTTCATCATTTATTGATCTCATGATTTGTAATTTTTTTCCAAATTTATTTCTGTTTTAGAAAGAATCCATATTATGGAGTCATCTACTTTTCAGACTACTGAATCAAGTCCCGTTGGATCCGTGTTAATCCCAAAGAAAGTTTACAGTAGAAAAAGGCTTTTTTCTGCAATGTCCAAAGATTCACATTATGACATTGACAGTGAAAAACATGAATATGTAGAAAAAGTATTTCTTGAAGAACCTTCCACTTCAGCGTACCAACCAATTTCATCAACAACGAGTAGGTAACCATGTTTACATGTTATGTTTATAGTTTAAAATTGTAAGTCACTAATTCATATTTTTCCAAATTTTTTTAAAAACCTAAATTGACAATAATATTAATTCATTAAGGCCTGCACATATGGGTTTGTGGGTGTGTGGGTGTGTAACCTAAATTGACAATAATATTAATTCATTAAGGCCTGCACATACATACGCGGTTAGGTAAGCGGTGGTGTATATACCGCTCGTACCGCGACATGTATGTTTTGATCCATTTGTTTCTATGCCTTACATTCAAACGCCACTGCCACCGCCACCGTTTATCTTACCGCGTATGTATGTGCAGGCCTTTAGCATGTTACTTTCCTTGAAAATGCGTATGTTTATTTTTATATTCATCCTCTTTCCAATTCAATTTTCTGAGTAACTTATTGTTTAGGAACTTCATAAAAATATATAACAGTCTACTTTTTTGTAAAACAACAATATAATTTTAAATTTTTTTTTACAGTTTTACCAAAAAAAGTAAAATCTGCAGGACTTTCAAGGAAGTCACATTCAGAAAGAATTTTAGTTCGTCAATTGTATTTATTAAAACGAGTAGCAAAAAGAGCAAAAGAAAATCTTTTGACTACTAGACAAAAATTGAAGTTTTTAGAAAAACATCAACTTCAGGTAAATTTTTTGAAGGATATAAATGTGCCAACTTTCAATTTTTTTAAAAGTCAGTTAAAAAATCAAAAATTAAAACCAAAAGGGAGACGATTTACTATGGAAGATAAAATATTTGCACTTTCGATATTTAAACAAAGCGGAAAAGGTTACAGGTTTCTATCAAAAATTTTCAGTTTACCTAGCCGTAAGACTTTGACAAAACTTTTAAACATGATACCATTTCATTGTGGCATTAATCCACATATATTCTCCCATTTAAAATCTATGGTGGAAAAAATGTCGGTTTTAAATAAATGCTGTGTGTTGATGTTTGATGAAATTTCGTTAAACACAGGTATTTCTTATAACTCTGCAAAAGACTGCATAGAAGGGATAGTTGACTTTGGCGAAGGGGAGAGAAGAGCTGTCTTTGCTGATCATGCACTTGTTTTTATGTTAAAAGGCATACACAAAAATTGGAAACAACCTATTTGCTTTTACTTTTGTGAGCATACAACTGCAACAGCAGATTTGATTAGAATAATAAAGGATGTGGTAAGACATGTTCGTAGTACAGGACTGGAAATAATAGCCACTGTATGTGACCAAGGGACAACAAATAACTCTGCAGTAAAGCAGCTTATAAAGGACACGGGCCTCTTATTGCATAAGAAATAATATTGAAAACCGATATCAAGGATATTTAATAGATGGCCAGGAGATAGTTCATTTATTTGATTACCCCCATTTGTTAAAAGGTATCAGAAATGGCATGTTATCAAAAAATTTACATTTTACACAAAATGGACTTAATAAGGTTGCCTCTTGGTCACATATTGTTGATCTATATAAAATGGACAGGGAAATGGGAAAATTTAGCCAGTTTCCTGACCTGTGCGCTTGTCTTGCCACAAAAAATTTAAAAAATGAAAGTGAAAAATTGCAAGCAAATTTTTAGCCGAACAGTTGCAACAGCAATGAAAATTAGGGCAGAAATCAGCAAAGAATTACCTCCCCATTCCCAATTTCATTTAAATCCCTCTGCATCTGACACAGCTGATCTTTTGCTCTTTTTTGATGAACTCTTTGATAGTGTCAATGGCAGTTTGATAAATCCTCCACTTGGAAAGGAATTGCGAGGCGTAGTAAATATTAAAAGTAAACACATTCAAGTTTGGCAAAATTCTCTTCCTATCTTAAAATCGATGTACTTCTCTACACCTTCCTCTTCACGTCATCTTATTACACCTTCTATAGAAAACTGGATGGTCACAGTTCGTGGCTTTATATATGTTTATAATTTGTTAAAAGATAAAGGTTTTAAATTTTTCAGTCCTCGATGTTTTAATCAGGATCCCCTGGAAAATTTTTTTAGTCTTATAAGAAGCCACGGTGTAAGAAACACTAATCCAACTTGTACTTCCTTTATTTCTTCTACCAAAGCTTTAATTATTAACAATTTTTTATCTTCACATTCTCCGGCCTCAAATTGTGAAGAAGACACATCAACTGGAGCATTGGATACACTCAAAGAGTTTGTCAATGTGCGTCACAGACAAAGTGCTGAAATTTCACCAAACATTAATCCTCCAGTTTATCATCATACATTGACATCAGCTGTATCAACGAAACTTGTAGACATAGCAACGCCTTACGTTGCAGGTGTCATATCAAAAAAATTATTTAAAAAAATCAATTGTGAAACCTGTTTCAATATAATAACAACTGAGGAAGATCTTCCTCAAAATATATTGATTAAAAGAAAATCGTACAAAAAAGGGAGTTTGTGCACACCTTCAGAAA